AGGAGGGTATGAGGGAGTATGCAATCCCCTGGTGGGATGGGGCCGGATTTAGGGTTTGCGAAGAACAAAAGACTGAGGATGTGGAGGCAGTGGAAAAATACTGGCAGGGCGGTTGTAGGGCTGGGGGGAACCGTGCCCGGAGCATCGCGCTGCGCTGAGGGCTCTGCAGGGCGTAGGGGAGCAGCCGTCCCTATAGGAGGGAGCGAGGGGACTGAGCCCCCCCCCCCCCAGCCGTTGTACGCAGCTTTGGGAGTACAGCGGGAATACAGGATTTGGGATGCCTGGAGTGCGGCATGGGGTGGGAGTAGAAGAGCGTGTGAGTGAGTGCATGGGCATGAGGGTGCTGTGCGGGGGCTGCGGGGTGGGTTTAGGAGTGCTTGTAATGGGAGTTTAGAAGGGCAGTGGAGGGGCATGGCGGGCAGATGAGCAATGCTGGGGGCTGGTGTTGCTTTCTGCCTGTTCTGAGGGCAGAAGTGCACGGTCCACTCATGGCTCTGCTTGCTGTGCTGTGAATGGGGATGTGGGGGCTCAGGGGGTTGGGCTGCAGGGGCTTGCAGGAGGGCATTCTATTCCCATGCCATCTTCTGCATGACCATTTCCTCGCCAAAGGGAACACTGACGGTGCTGCTCCACCAGCCAAAATCTGTGTGGCTGCCGTGCCCCCCAGCTGTCCCTCCTGCTGGGACCAGGCAGGTGGGAGCCTTGTATTGAGGCTGGTGCCAGACTACAGCTCCTGGTGTGCCCCGTACCCAATGTACCACTGCCACAGAGACCCCAAGGCTTCACCTCAGCTGTCCTTCAGCCTGATTCCAGCAGGGCTGAGGACACAGGGACTCTTTGGCTTTGCCATGAGGCTCCTTTCCAGCCCCAGCTCTGAACATACCAGCCAGGTGCCATCTCATCCCTGAGTCCCTCTCCTTCTTTTTTACCCCAAAATGGGAACTCTGCCACTCCCCACCCTGCTGCGAGTGGGTGGCATCTGGGTGGGGACAATGGAGATCAGGGTGCAGGATAAAGCCGAGCCTATTTTTATCCCACAAAGTAATTACCAGAGCCTTCCAGTCCTTAATCTGCTGAGAGCACCCTGGCACGATTGGGTCCCTCCCTGAGCCTGGCAACAGTGTGCCTGTCACACGTCTCCTGCGTCAGAGCCCAGTAAACTCCCACCCTTGCCATCTCCAGGAACGGGAACAGGGATCTCATTTGGGGCTGGGAGTGCGGTCTCACCTCAACCCCTGGGTGTTCCAGTCCCCTGCACCAAGACTGGGGCTCAGGCTGCGTGAAAACACTAAATTCAGAATATTTTCTCTATAGCCACCCCCAAAAATTTCTACCTGCAGTGCACAGCTTCAACCAGGGTCGCAAGTCCCTCTCCACTGAGCAGGGGCGGCTCCGGCTGCCGGTGCCAAGTCCCCACTGGCTCCATTCCCAGCCTCTCCCCATCCCGTCACCCTGCTCTGGCTCGCTGAAGAACCTGTTCCATAGCTGTTGCCACGAGTGGAAATTATGGGCTGTGTTTGGAGCAGTGCTTTTCACCCATTGCAGAGGGACTGCTTCACCCGCATATCTGCAGCCAGCTCCAGGGAGGGATGTTTGGGACCCTGTGGGACCCTTTGGGGACCTCACGTCACCATTGTTGGATACCTGGCAGCACCCCTCGCTCCATCCATCCCGACACACAGCAGCAAGCACAAAGTAAAGTTATCAGTATGCCACGCTAAACCACTGCTGTCACGAGGCAGGAGCTGATGTGGAACTTGAGGATGACCCCAGCAATGTCCCTGTCCCTGCCTGGCGGGACGCAGTGGGCTGGGAAGTGTCTGCCGGCACTGATGGCCATAAAAGGTCCTGAAACAGAGAACTCAGGAAGGATCATTTGGGATGTGGGAATGGGGCCTGGAGCTGGATGGGGCGGTGGCACACAGCGTCTCTTCCCTGCTGCCCATTTGGGATCTGCATCACCTCCCACACACGGCTCAGGGGAACAATGCCAGCCATTCATTGGGGCACCTGGGTGGTGGGAGTGAGGTCGGAGTTCCCCCCCGACCCCACAGCCTCACCCCACAGACAATAGCTGCCCTTTGTTGGGGTTTTCTGTGTCCCCTCCCTGCCACCCAGCCGGTGACATTTACCACCTCCATGTTTGCAAGGGGACTCAAAGGTCATAAGATGTGCTGCGGAATCGCAAAGCACAGCAGGCGCCTCTGTGCTCTCCCATCCGTTTGAGGTCCACTGGTGGGGAACGAAGGATGAAGAAAGATGAAATGGGGACCTTTTCCAGTCTGGTGACATTTGACCTTTTTGAGATGAATCCACTGCTACCCTGGGGATACCTCACTGTGAGTGCAACACCATGGAACGCCAGCCCCTATGGGATATGCCATGACTTCTATCTCTCCAGAAAGGTCCCTGCTTCAAACTCCTGCTCCCTCCCAGACCCCCAGGGCAGTTCCCCCACGAAATGGGCTCACAGCCCCGTTCTTCCTGGCCACCTCCATGGGGTCCTTGGAAACACAACCCATAATAAACAGGCAGCCTGAGAGCTTAGAGATAAATGAATGCTTTAGGGGAGTTTGTAGGGTGTGTGGCGCCATGAGAATGAGCACAGCCGTGCTTGGAGGTGGGTGCCTGCAGCACGCCGGGGTGGTTGTTCTGGAGCCAGGGTTCTGTGGGGTTCGGATGCTGCTCTGCTCTCTGGCTTCACTGGAGGCTTGGGGTCACTCAGGGAAGGTGACACGGGGCACAGAGCCTGCGGGGTGCGAGGGCACGGGGTGCACTTTGAAATGAGATGCACATTACGTAGGATGCTGAGCACATTACGTGGGATGTAGGGCACACTCTACGTGGGATAGGGTGCTCGCCTTAGGGACGATGAAGAGTGCAGCCCATCTCCCCCCCCTTCCCCAGTGCTGCGCCCGTTTTCCCACCCACCCCCTGCAGTTGGCTGACGCGGGCTGACGTCCCTGTATTATGCTGATTTATGCGAGTTATCCCTTTCCTCGCCATACGGGGAGGCTCCGGTGCTGGGGGGGGTGGTCCCGGGACCCCGCCCGGGGCTGCCGTTGCCTCCCCGCCCTCCCCCACCCCCCGCGGGTTTCCATGAGAACAGGACCGGGATGATGTCAGCGGTTGCTACGCGACAGCGTGAGGTCACTGTCGCCATGGCGACGGGATGGGGGGGCCGCCGGGGGCGGGGGGGGCAATACGGGGCCTCCCGCAGGGACGGGGCAGAGGATTGAGGGAAGAGGGATGGCTGCGGGGAGGGGACGACGACAGGACGGCGGGAGTGCTCCCAAGGGGAACTGCAGGAGCTTCTCATTAGAACAGGAGAATAAAAAAAGAAAGAAAGAGAGAAAGAAAGAAAAACAAATAAACAACAACAACAAAAAACAGCTTTTTTTTTTTTGCTTTTTTTTTTTTTTTTTTTTGGCACAGTGTAAGTTATTATTTTTAGAAGTGCTAACAGCCAGGCTGTCCACTCTGGGACATCCTTTGGGCCCTGCGGGCCGGGCTGCGTGGGGAGGGGAACGTGGGGGGTCTGAGGGTGCTCGGCCCCATCCTCATCAATGGGACATCCGCTTCTCCGTGCCTTCCATTCACTTCCTTCCTGTGGGCAAACCCCAGCCCCTGGAGGATGTGGTGGTACCCAAAGTAACTTAGCGAGAGATGAGCAAGGATGGGGATGGGGGAGCAGGGGCGTGCTCAGGGCTTAGGGCTGCCCAGGTCTCAGCATCCTCCAGGGAAACCGTGCCAAACCTGAGCCCCCCTATCACATAGATGAGGTTCCCCGAAGTGACGCTGTACCCCACAGAGGTGTTTTTGGGTCGGAGCTCAGCCTCTGGGGTATTCCTTAAGGGACCTTTGAGAACAGTGTTCCTTCCACCCCCGTGGAGGGAAGGGATGAGGGCAGCCCCCAGTCATAGGGCGCTTCCAGGAGGGCTGTGGGACAAGGGCGGCAGATGGAGGCGGGCAGACGGAAACCCTACGCGCTGTGACGGGATCTTGGCTCTCTCCTCGCTGAGCAGCTGCTGAGCCGATGGAGCTGCGGGTCTGCTGGGAGAGGGAGGGATAGGGAACGCGGGTGATTCCCTAATGCGGGACAGCTGGGGGGAGAGGGGAACACGAGCTCTGCTGCCAAAAGTGCTGGGCTGGGAGGTGTGTCCCAGGGGGGGGGATGAGCTGCGCGCATCACGGCTGTGTCAGAATCCCTGGACTGCAGCGGAGACCACAAAGAAGCCCCCAACCTCGAGGCCAGCATCCATCCCACCAGACCTCATGCATCTCCTCTCCTGCACCCGTGGGATGGAGAAGCCATCGGTTCAGCTCGTGCTTAGTGGACCATTTGGAGCAGTGCTTGTGTCCCCTTCCCGCCGCCTCGTGTCCCCAAGCTCTGCCCGTTGCGCTCGCGTCCCCTCAGCCGCTTTGGAGCGCGCCGGAGCTCCACGCGTGTCCACCAGAGGGAGCCAACGAGCCACGAATCGTCCCGGCCGCCGACCACGGGCGCCGGGCCAGGAGGAGCGTGGAGCTGCCACCCCCCGTACGGCTGTCCCATCGGAACCCCACCTCCAGCTGCCCCATATCCAGGGAGAAACCCCATGAGGCTGCTCCAGATGTGCCTGAGCAGCCCCGGTTCGCATCTCTGGTTATAGGCGGTCTCCAAGTCCAAATTGCTGCCTGGCATTACAACCGAGCCCAGGGAAGCAGCTCCTCTCCCAGCACCTTTAGGGGCTGCAATTAGCGTCAGCTTATGCAGACACAGAGCAGAATGGGAGGGTTGGGAAGGATGCTCCTGGTGCTCTCCCAACATCTCTCATGTGCTCACAGGTTCCCAGGCTCTGTGAGTGTGTGTGGGGGGGTGGGAATAGCCACCAGATGGGAGCAGGGGGAAAAGCAGAGGAGAAACCTCACCGGTGATGCTGCACTGTGCCACGGGAAAATCCCCCTCATTTGCTGAAGATTTGCTCAGTTATTTACAGCCTGCACTTGTGGCAGCCACATGGGGTGGGATTTGCACCAGTCCTGTGTGAGCTGGGAGCTTTATTTTGGCTGAACACAAGTGGGTGGCATCGGGCTGCCGCTCAGGCCTGCTGCCATCAGCCTGGCACAGCCAGGAAGGAAATCCCATCCAAGTACATGGATGTACACATGTCCTCAGCACTCTCCTCTGGAGCTGCTGGCAAGCAAAAGAGCTCAGCCTGGCCCCATCCCAGCACCATCTGTAGGGGAGATCCAGGACTGTAGGAATGGGCAATAGGGCAGGGTGTGGTTGCTGCCCCCATGCTAGAAGAGGAGGTGGCAGGATGGGATGACCAGCTGAATGTGTTTCCTTTGCAGCCAACAGGTGCAAGCTGTGCTCCAAGCATCTCCTCCAGCCCATGGGAACTTCATTCCCTGATCTACCAGAAGCCACAGCACTACCGTTCTTGCTGCTGCAGTTTCAGATTGGCAGTGATGCTGTGTACCCAGCCATCACCCTCTTGCATGGAGTAACTTGATGAGGCTGCTGAGGTCTGATTTGACCATGAGATGTAGGATTTGGCTTTCCCTGTGCTACAGGTGGGATGCTCCATTGATTACTCTGCATCCTCTGAGTGTGGAAATCGGGCTAAGAGCTTCTAATCTTTATCCACTTGGACAGAATTACCATCCCTAATCTTCCATCCCTTGGGTGTCCCCAAGGCTCAGCTAACACCTGGAGCTGCCTGGGGTCTGCGGTGCCCCAGAGTGGATTCCGTGTGGACATACTAACATGCATGGGTTCATTGAGCCTGTTAGCATCCCCTAACATAGAATCATTAAGTTTGGAACAGCCCTTGAAAATCATCAAGTCCAACCATCAGCCCACCCCACCATGCCCACTGGCCACGTCCCTCAGTGCCACATCCACACGGCTCATGACTTCATCACCTCCCTGGGCAGCCTGTGCCAGTGCCCCACTGCTCTTTCTGAGCAGATGCAGGGCCGGGCTTTGTGGGACCCCATCTCCACCATCTCCACATCCCTGTCCCTCAGCCTGGCCATGTGCCGGAGCAGGGTGCACACAGAGATGCTCTGCAAGGGGTTCCAGGGGCACACACAGATCCCACTGTTCACTCCTCTCCCTCTGGCTTCTGTCCCTACTTGCTGCCGCGCTGTGCTTCATGGTGATGTTGTTGCTCTTTATGGCTGGTGGGGCTGATCTTGAGTGAGTCATTATGTGGCAAATGGGATCCAATCACAGTGACATTATTTCCTCGCCCGGTGTTCTTTGCAAATGAGATTTTGCAGAACTCAGAGCATTTTTTTTTTCTTCCTTCCAGCCAAAGGCCTTTTCCCAGCCCCATTTAAAAGCTCACAAATTGGGTGTGGGATAGAATGAATATTTACCACGGGGCTCACAGGGCAGTGAGCTCATAAACACGCTGGCAATCAATCCTGGCGGAGCAGCCGCACCTGGAGTGCGCCGGTGCATGCAGAGCTGCTGTGAGTGAGGGATGGGGAGAGGCCATCCCTGCTCCCCAGTTCTCATTTCTCTGCTTTGGTGACTCACTCAGGAGAAGGTTTGGAAAGGAATAAATAGAGCCCATAAAGTGTCTTGCTGATGCTTGGGAGGATGCCCTGGGTCTGTGCTCTGTTTCAGTGATCCAGAGGAGACTGTGCTGGAGCTGAGTGATCCCCAAAATGCTGTGGGTTGGGCAGCACATTCTTGGCTGACGGCATGTTCGCTGGGATCAGAACCAGGACCTCTTTGCCAAGAGCAGATCTAGGGCAGGAGATGGGGTTCCATCCTGGTGCTCTCTGGTGTCATGGGCTTTCTCCCTGGGAGGCCCTTTCCTGCCCATGGCTGAGAGCATCCCCAGGTCCTGATGGAGCCCTGTAAAAGCCCTGCACTCCTGCCAGGTGCAAAGGCACTTGTCTGTGCCAGCCCTGATTAGCAGAATGATGGTTGCCATGGAGCCTCAATTCCTGCTCTGCACCCCAGCAGACCCAGGGGGAGGCACACGTGGAGTAGACGCCAATTGCACTCTTCCCAGAAAGCTGATTGCTTCTATCTTAGCAAACATCTAAATGGGCCTTTCATTCATTTCCTTTCTCCTTTCAGCACGGTTTGGGGGGAAAAAACGAAATGTCCCCCCTGGGATCTCACAGATAGGCTGGGAGGGGGCTCACGGGGAGACCTGAGGCAGAGCTTGCCGGGTACCAACCTGCATCCCTTAGGATCCCACACCACTTCAGAGCTCACAGTGTCCCCTGGCGGTCACGGGAACAACGCAGGACAGGTGCTCCTTAATAACTTTATCAATGACATCGACAGTGTGAAGCCAGCAAGGAGTGAGCCAGGCAGGGTTAATGCAATAAAGTGCCTGATGAGGGGAATGGGATGAAGGGCCGTGCCCCATACGCAGCTCCTCCTCTTCATGGAGCAGTAATGGCAAAGGAGTTGCCATCTTCTGATGATTTCATTTATCAGAAAATTGAAAAGTGGAATGGATTGCTCTGAAGTGCTGTTGGGCCCACGGGGGATTGTAGCAAGAACCAGATGTTGAGGGATAAAAATGGGAAGCAGCGTGCAGTTGTTGGGAGGCATGAAGCCTTCCTGAGAGCCGTGGTGGTGGAGAGGTTTTCAGGAGCTCTCCCTCCTTGAGGCAGCCTCTGTGCCACATGGACCCATCCCAACCTCGGGTGTGGATGGGAAGAACGCAGCCTGGGCATCAGTCAGGAGCAGGGAGAGAAACCTGTGCCTCCAGCAGGCCGGCACTGCCCAGGTGCAGGTGCTGAATACAATGAGTCGTGCTGGGGCTCAGCCTGGGTGCAAGAGGTGGCACAGGGCAGGAGGCGTAAGGTCTGTCCTGGTAACTCTGTCCTGCCTGCTCTTTCCCACCTCCTTCTCCAAGATCCCTGCCTTGCCTGCTCAAACCCAGCTCTGCTGGATTCTCTCTCAGCTCCATCCTCTCCATCTTGTGCACAGCCAGGATGGAAATGAGATGGGATGGACTGAGGAAGGTCCCCAAGATGATAACACTTTTCAAGGTCTCACCTCGAGTGCTGGGTCCCTGGATCCATACCAACGCCTTGATATCCTCAAGGGGACAAAGGGATGATGCTGGCAGTGGGTGCATGTCTCTAGCTGTGCAGCCAAAACACCATGGAGCCGCAGCAGAGCAGAGACACTCAACCCCAAGCTTCTATGGTGGGGGGACAAGGGGAGACCCCTTGGTCCCTGGAAAATCCTGGCAGCCTTCAGCCCTGCCTGCCAACTGGAGGCAGCAATGCATTGTGGAACTGGAGGCAGGAGCAGGGGTTGTGGGGGCTGCTGGAGCCACCCCCAGAGATGACAACCACATGTTCCAATGGAGCCACCG